TCAGTTCACGAGTCTCTCACAGGGAGTTTGAACTTTCCTTTAATCTAATCCATTTAGAAGATGACTCACAATTTATTGAATAAAGTGCAGAAAATTGATATCTTTTCATTAAGCTGACAAAGTCTTTTTCACTGCTGGCATCTGTGAAATGTGTTCTCTATTTAAATTTTATTTATATCAATCTTCTCTGGTGGAAACTAGATTAAAATGGAATGCTTTATACTTACAGTAGAAACTTTCCCATCCTGCAACGAGTGCCACACTGGTATTGAAAATGAACACTGTTTCTTATTCCTTGGAGTAGCGTGATACCTGTGATCAGGAGGAAGCGCAATCTAATATCTCTAACACTTTGTATTCTATTTCTATATAAACAAAATGTGTACACTTTATCACAAGCAAAAAGAGATAGCTGCAGTGGCTTTATAATGGCAAATGCAGAAGCAATCTTGGAACATTTTAATACATAGCATGTTCCCTCTAAACTGTTGAAAAATGCATGATGATATTTTGCTCTGTTTTCATATTTCGGGGTCCTCCATAAATATGAATTAAAGTTATATATTACTCTGAGAGTATTGTCATATTGTTAAATATAATGTCTTTATACTTATTGTCGTATACAGTTTGTCATATTGTTACGGCAATTTCCTAAATACAAATGCAGAAAAGTTAAAGGAGAATTCTATCTGCAAGAAAAAGTCTGTGCATTTTTTATACACGCCAGAGTAGCAAACACAACACAAGCAAATGCCTGTGAGTTTCTGGGCTGTGTGTGCACATTTTCTGCCGGACCACCCCCTGCCCATGTCTGTACTCAGTCAGGGCAGTTAGTTGCTGTTTGAATGGTTGAGCAGCTGCAGTTAAATGCAAGAACTTAAAGACTGAGAAATGTGAAACTTGGCAAGTTTGGGAGTTTCCACAAGCAAGGAAGTTTTAATCAAATGGATTCTGTAGTTTTTTCCCAACTGTTTCTTGATTCAAGAGGAAGATGATGTAATGGATAGTGTTTCCGTGTTGATTTGATCTCAGTTTAGGTATAGATATTTGAAGGTGTTCAGTGCATTTTTACTGTGATCCCGCAATAGAATACTTTGTTACTGAAATTCAAGGGGAAAACATCCCCAGCCAGCTCTCCTCCTGCGCCAAAACTTTGTGCTTCAGATGACGTGTAAGAACAAGTCAAAAAGCAGTCACTACCCTTATGCAACCTACAAAGGTTCTCTTTGCAGGTTGAAGCCCACTGCGTTCAGTCTAAGCTGGAAGTTCCCTGCAGCCACCTAAGGCTCTGGGTTTTATGTTTGGGAACAAATTCATTTTTAAATGCAATAGAACTGTGTAAACACCAGCAAACATAAGCTATTCTCTTGCTCTTTCCCTATATTTAATCTGATTGACAGATCTCTTCTCTGCAGTTTATTTCTCTTTGGTACCTGATTAGCAAATGCCATTTCAACCAAACGCTTTTTTGTCTGTTAATCCATGCAGACTAAATACATCAAAAGTTAAATATTTTGATCAAAAATTTTCTATAGCTTTGCAAACAAAGATTAAAAAAAAAAAAAACAACAGTGGGAATTGGACTGGAAAAAAAAATCTCAAGAATTTTCTGAAGAAAGTTGCTTTTCTCAAGTCCATAAGGTATATGATTAGAGTTTAATATTCTTATAGAAGAGGCATTTTCTTGAGGAGAAGTCAGATATAAGCAATCCCTTAGTTACTAGCAGGAGCTGGGGAACAGAAAACCCAAAAGAAAACACAAGCAAAGCAGGAGTAGTCGAGCCTCTTTTATATCATATCCTTTTTCTTTCCCCATGGCTGAGGGTATCTGTCTCAGTCAAATCAGCCTTGCATGAAAAAGCTCCGTGCTTCGTGTGCTCCCCAGACAGTGAGAACACAATGAAAACCACTCCAAAATGTTACAGGCATCTAATTCAGCATGATGTGAGCACTCAGCCTGTGATACCTGGTGACTAACAGGAGCCTGTAATTCTCATCCCGAATTAGCAGCTCGGGTCACTGAGAAGCTCAGGTTCCTCAGGATTGGGGAGATCTTGAATGCAAACCGCCTCGAGGAAAAGCATCTTAACTTGAGCAATTCTGTCTCTCACACGACCGCTTCAGCACATCTCAGAGTGACATAACCTAAATGTAGAAAAGCTGAATTGTGTTCCCTGGGGAAGCTTTCAGCCCCACCCCCCTCCTCCCCATGCAGGTGTACCTAATCTCAAACACAGCAAACTGTGATTCATTTTGAAGTTTTTTCCTGCCTCTTTGAACAGAGCTGGAGGTGTAAAACTTTGAAATCAAGTAGACCTCAAAGGATCAGCAGTGCCCAAGAAGGACAACTGGTCCTAAAGATTAAAAGGCTCTTAATAGAAGAGAAAACCTATAAACACAAGACTCAAAGAAAATAATTTTCATTGGGCTCTGGATGCCCCTGCCACAGCGTGGTGGTGAGGACTAGACCACAGTGAGCTTTGTAGTGCTTCAGACTTACAAAGGCTTTTGCCCACTTACATATTAGAGACAAACAGGAGCTTTTCATCTGCAAATGGCCTTAGTTTACCCTTTTATAAAAGGAGCCTTGTCTCCAGCCCATCTATACTGGGTAGGGACAGGTGAGGATGCTCACCGGTGGGGCTGGGGGTGAACAACCTTGTGATTGCAACTGCACTTTGGTCACAAATTTATCTATATATACATATATATATACACACACACATATATGTGTACTGAAACCTGCACAGTATTAGATGAATCAGTCAACATTAGGGTTCTGCACCGACTTTGCATTTGATTATTTTTCAAGGTCAATGCCCAAATACTTGGGCTGTATTTAACAGCATCACTAAGCAGTTAAATCATTTTAATTGCTATGAACAGCATTGCTTCTCCCTTTTGCCTCTCAGTCTGTATTCATCTCGTACCTCTGTTTTACATTGTCAACTCCCTAGGCCAGGGCGTTCAGTTTTGTGGGTTTTAGTACCTCGCACCATAGGATGCTTCTCCATGGTAATTTAATGCTACAGCACTGCTACTAGTAAATAATTATGATCATGGCTTTTGAATCCATATCACAGGATTCTCCTCACGTATCCTGAGGATGCTCTGTTCTGATGATTGCTGTGAAGGCCAGTATTTAGCAGGATATGGTTTTTCAGTTTGCCCACTGCTCAATCTATTATTAGAGCACAGATTCAGCCCTCATGTGCCTTTTCATGCATAGCAAAGAGAGATATTTCTTTTCTCCACTGTTAGCAGCATTAATGATACCCTTCTGAAAACGATGTGTGAATAGCATCACTAAACTGCCTTGCAAGTGCAGGTGTAAAGGGGTTTTTTTTGTGCATTTGTATATATGGAAAAATTATATATTACATGGTACAAATGAGGTATAAGCTGTGAGAAGAAATAGGAAAGACAACACAGAGCTAGATAATCATTTAGATCCCTTCCAGCTGAACTATTCTATTCTATTCTATTCTATTCTATTCTATTCTATTCTATTCTATTCTATTCTATTCTAAGCTTAGTTTACTTGCTCCAACTTACTCAACCTTTTTTCCAGACCAAAGGAGCCTTCAAACCCAAGGTGTTTCCCCCTGTGTGTCAAGTAAACTTAGCAGGTGAAACCTATATACCTGTTGGTACAGTTATTTGGCAATCTTCTGGTAAAATCACATACCAAGTGAAGGCCTATTTTAGAGGTACTCACTTGGACATATTAGAGGAAAAGGGACATGTAACTTCATCTGTGTATCTGTGAATTAAGGGAATGGACATTAGTAACAGCTGCAAATACACCTTTGTGTGTCTCTTTAAGACTCTATGAGCATACACTGATTACAACTAGATAAAAAATAAATCAAGACTTTAATTATAAACTCTGAAATGTTGCATACACAACAGGGCATTTTCCAGAGCTGAATGGTGTGATAGAAAGGTATTCTGCTGCTTCAAAGGTATTTTATAGGCTTGAAGCAGCTACATGGGGAGATACGAAAGGGTTAAGCATCTCTCTTGGAGCCAGTGTGCGAGCAGCTTTGACAGGTAGCCTTCATGAGTGCAACCATGAAATTAATTCTTGCCAGCGAAAACAAACCACAGAGAGAGCCACTCATGCACCAACTAGTCACAGTTTGCAAGGTTAGCTAAAGTTTATCAAAATCCCCAGACAAAAAATGTCATTAAGATACAGTTAAGGTTATAGACAGATACCAATTCCCAGGCAAGAAACTTCATTAAGGTACAGTCAAGGTTGTAAACATATGTGCCAATTTTAAATTCAAACAACAAGATCCAAACTCTGTCATTATTTACAACGTTAAATATTTGGAAATTAAAAGGTACTGCTAGAGATAATATGGTTTCTATAAAATTCATAATCATGTTTCAACAAACTGAACTTATGCTGCTGTTCAGTATTATCTTGCCTTCTATTTCTAGTTGTGACGCTCCCTGCCATGGGATCCTGGAAAAGCTAAAAGTCTACATGTGTTCAAAAAATTCTGCACAGATTTGTGGAAGAAAAAGGCAGCTGTAGGCATTGAAAGCAAAACAGGCACTGTTTATTCTGGAACTACAAGTCCTGGAGACCTGGAGAATATTCTGGGGAAAACCTCTTTTGACTTACCTTGTTCCTATATATGTCCATAAGGATCAGATTGGCCACTCGCAGAGACGGGTTGTTGGGGTGGATGGTCCTTTGGTCTGAAGCAGCATTGCTGCCACCACGGCATTCCCTGCAGTCACACCAGGACAGCAGACCAGACCTGGTGTAGAAGGAAGCTATGGCAAGCAGGATATTCCCTAATACCCTAATAGAGAATATAGGATGCAAAACAAGTAATTAAATGTGAAATCCTCGCAACTACATTTCAATTGAAGGGTTTAAAAGGGACACTCAGCCTCTTAAATGCAGTGTTAGACCCTTGAGATATCATTTAATTAGATTTTTCATTATAACACAGTTGTGAACATTGTCTTTTCTCTTTTAGCTTCAATAGTGATTGGGAAATGGTGGTGTGAGATGGAGCCCTGCCTAGAAGGAGAGGAATGTAAGACATTGCCCGATAATTCTGGATGGATGTGTGCAACTGGCAATAAAATCAAGACCACCAGAGTAAGTCTTCTTTCTGTCTATACCTAGGAGGTCTTAATAGGAAAGGGAGTCACTAATAATTACTCACTCTCATCTTTTCCATCATCATCTCTGCTGTAAAAGTCTTAAAGATAACTGCATACCTCCTCAGTCACCTAGTGCTTCTGGTTGGATGAAATTTAACGAAAATTTGCATGGATTCAGGCTGGTCAGCTGAGTCCAGGCTCAATAACCAGCAACTTGGAGCTGTTAAATCGCCAGGTCGCTTTAGTACAGACATTGTCACCTCAGAATAAAAGCTAGGGCACAGTGCTGAGTCCCTCTCTGGTGGCTAAAGGGAAGAACATTAGATGGAAGGGATCTGCTGGATCTTATTTCCATTCCTTGGCTGTTCCAGGCCACATCTGTATTAGCAGCTGTACAGGTGCTTTGTAGCATGAAATGGTGCTGAGGACTAAAATTCATATTTCAGGTCTTACTTCAGAGCAGCTCTTCTAGCAATATTTTTCATTGAAGTGGAAAATAACTTTTAAAACCTGCTACATGAAAAAAAAAACCAAATTTTAAAGAATTTTTTCAATGTTTATTATTAATTTCTACATCCTCATAACCACCTACTAATTCACAGGAACATGAAGCTTAGTGTCATGGTTTCCTGACTTCTTCCTTTTTTTACAGTCCTAAATCTAGTCATTTTCCATGTCTTCTAGGCCTTTTCTTGTAGGAGGAGATTTACCCCAACTGATCCCTATGCCTTCTGAATTCCTTTCCCTCCATACAATTTACCCCAGGATGAATTATTTGTATTGCAGCTCTAGTTTCTTGAGTGGTGCCTTCTGGCATGGCTAATCTCAGCACCACATTAAATTACTAGGATGTATATTAAGATAGGAGGTTTTACTTGCGGAAGGCAGTAAGTCGCCCTTGAAAATGGGATGCATGGAGGAAACTCTGATTCCTTGGCACAATTTCTTCCTGGGGTGTCGTTGCTGCAAACCTCTCTGTGCTTACAACTGAGACACCGCTGGAAGATTGTGCCCTACTGAATATGCCTCGCAGTGCAATTAAAAAAAAAAAAAATACTACATGCCCTTTTCAGTGAGGCAACATTTTTCTCTCACTGAATTAGGGATTTAAAATGGAAGAAAGTGATATTAAAGAAGCAATAAGCAACGTGAAAAAGAATGTTTTACTTTTGTTAAATTACAATAATTCAGTACTTCTGCAGTCTGTCTGCAAATTATATAATTTAGGAATTGCATTTGCTTTTTTCTGTGAAATTGTCCTGCTCTTAGCTTCCCCAACCCTCATCATATAAACTAGTTTTAGGCGATAGCCTGCATCTAGAAGTGATTGCTAGAAATTTAGCAGCTTCATTAATATGCAGATGTATGGTCCAATCTATTCAGTATGCATTATTGTATTTCATTTAAATTAAATACTTACAGAGTGAGTGCTCATAACTGAAAAAATATTTCTTCATTTACCCACAGGAGTTATTTTAATTAGCTTGTGAGGGGACTACCTTATGGTGCTGCTTCCAGTAGAATTTTGCTTTGTTGCTTTAAAATATCATTACAGAACTCAATTGACAAAGGCAACATGACATGATGTGCTTAGCAACTGTCTCTTGCATTTCCTAAGCAAAAATTCTACTTCATAATCCCTGAAACTTTGCTTGAATCCGTACTGCTGCATCAAGTCTAGCAACATAAATATAAAACAATAGAAGCAATTAGATCCTGAAAAAGGCATTTTTTTTTTCTTTGTTTTGTCATTACAGATGGCATCAGAGAAAGAGATTACACTATAATCTGTACTGACCCCAGTCCAGGCTGCGAGATTGCGCCATGTGTGTCCAATTTAAGTAGTTAAGGAAGTTAAGAAAGCAGAAGAACCAAGACAAATCAGTCAACATCCTAGATATTTCTGTGGTGATTAGCCAAAAAGCTAGAGCAAGTCACCATGGGCTGTAAACTGTTTTAATGAAGGCTTTTCCTTACACTAAATACATTAACGTTAGGCAGCTGCTGTCCTGACAAGGAAAATAGTCACATTTATGACTCGCAGGATTAAAATACCTATTAGCATATTCTTCAAGGCCCACAGTAAATCACATACAAGCATGTGCGCATGTCTAAATATATATACAAATACTTGTATATACACTATATATAATTTTACAGTGTAGTGTATTGCTTCATGGTTGGTTCTCAGATGTGATAAATACTGATTAGTGTCAGAAGAACGTGGACAACAGATCCAGTGCAAGCTTTGCCAGCCCATCCTCCATTCCTTCCTTTTCGTGCATTTATTCCTGTGTTTAGTCCTCTAGCATAGCTCTCTAATTAAGTTGTTAAAGCCAAAGATATAAAGCTCACGGCCCCTGTAAATCGATTTGTTTTCTATTGATGGTCAGAGCAGGTGACAAACACTGGAAAGAAATCATTTTGCAATTCAATTTTTGGAGCAGTTTCAACTCTTTTTTTTAATCCCTATTCACTCCTTCCTTTTTTTTTTTTTTTTTAAAGAACATAAGTTTCAATGCTTTCCTCAAAAATGTGGGCCTCTAGGATTTGTACTAGGTGCTGGCTGGAGATCCCATCGCTATATTTCAGCAGAGCAAGCGGCACCAGGGGAAATGCAAGAGCAGTCTCAGGCTGGATGCCGGGAGATGGTGCCCACAAGGGAACATAAAGGCCTGTAAGAACCAGAGCTGCTGAAAAACATGAAAACATGGCTCCTCATGCATCCCATGTTTTGCCACTTCTCATCTGAGTGAGGGAGTCTGTCACGAGCTCTTGACAGTGGATTGGTGTCTACACACAACTTTCTGTGGGTGCTTTGCAGGGCCCTCAAAGAGTGCAGTGCTCCCCCTGAGGGCTTTCTGCCTGGGCTTATGTGCACCCTGCACTGGAAAAAGGCCTCTTTTTATGTAATCCACACTAATAAGACCTGGTGTTCATGTACTAGCCCTCTGAATATTTCAACAAGCCATTTTGCAGTGCACCGAGGGACCTGAGCATCACATTTATTAGCAGCCACTGCTCACCTCTTGTTGCAGCAAATAGCACCTGAGGTGCCCACGGCCCCTTGACACTGTGGTCCTTTGTCATTCCCCACTCCTAGACCAGCTGCACAGACTCGTGAGGCAGTGTGCAAACACGAGAGGGATGTATTCATCCCCGAGAGAGAAAACCCAGCAGGGTCACTTGTCAGTGGCAAACCAGGAGAGCAAAGAAATGGCAAATGAACCCAGAGTTTTATTTTCTTTTTTTTAAGCTGTCCAACTAGGTTAATGTGTCAGATGATTTTCAGATTAAGTTTAAATGAACCCAGAGTTTTATTTTCTTTTTTTAAGCTGTCCAACTAGGTTAATATGTCAGATGATTTTCAGGTTAAGTTCTTCTTTAGAGCAGGGAAGAAACCCCTCTATTTTTGTGATAACGGTTTCTGCAATTAAGAGGTCAGTTCAAAGCAGTAGAGCACAAGATAGTAAATAACTCTTGCTATAAGACTTACTGCTGCATTTCATCATATCACCTAGTGTTAAGCTAATAATTTGTAGCCCTGATTTAATGTCTGAGCCTGCTCATATTCAAGTCAATTTGAGTTTCATTGCTGACCTAGTCGTCTAGCAAAGGGCTGGACCCCTTTTGCCATTGATCTGTGTGTGTCACTGTGGTAAAGCAACAAAAGCCTTACCTCGAGAGAGCTATTTTTGCTTCTGGTCAGTCATTCTTATTCCAGCATCCTAAAAAAAAACACCTCTGGGCGGTGGTGTTTCCTCTTCAAGCCATTAGTGCGCTTACTCAGATCAATTGTGGTGTTAGTCGTAAAGAGTGATGGTTTTATGGTCTGTTGCAGGCCGTGTTATCTCACCCGAGGTGAGTAGATGAAGGCGGTCAGCATTTCCAGTCTGTTTTATAGCCAGTCACTCCTACCCTGTCCCTCTTTGGGTAAGTGGGTTGGTAGGGGTCCAAATGAACATGAAAGGTAGGTCCATCAGCATATTCTTGTCTAGGAGAAGCTACTAGACTCTGAGAAGGGGAGGGTGGAAGGCCGGGGTGAGCATGACCCCATGCCCAAAGCTGTCCTGGCATCTCCTGCACCACCAGCTCAGGTGATGGACACACATCCAGGGTCTCCCAAGGTATGTGCAGGAGCTCGCTCAGGGTCTGCCCTGAGCATATCCCTAAATCCCTGCAGCCCTGAGAGAAAAGAACCCCCCCAAAATATTGCGATTTAAACTCAGCTATATCATGAGCAGGGCAAAGTGCCACAAAACCTAGGTCTGTCTTTCCTCTCATAACATATTTTATATAACTGACTCTTTCCCACTTTCTTACTGCAGATCCACCCAAGGACCTAACAGAGCGCCGTCTGCACGGAGACAGTGAAAGCCCTGCTGATTTATGAGGACAAAGTATTGAAAGTTTAAAACCATCTCAGCATTTACAAGCCAAATGGATTTCTTATTTGCACTTTGACTGTTTACCAGATAACAACAGTGGCTTTACTGTGTGAAAGAAGGTATTCAGTGGAAATAATGCCCCTGATTTTTGACAGCTGAAAATAAAAATGAAGAAAATGGTTCCTTTGGTAAAGTTTCCAAGATTGCGAAGTACAAACAACAGCATAAGTTTGGATCTACAATTTACTTTATACCAGTTAAAGTATATATATATAGAAATATATATATATTAATATATGATATTTTGAAATAAAAGCCTCACTCTTCAAGAAATTGAATAGTACCACACTTTGCTGCAGCTGCTGTAATTTTTTATTTTTTTTTTTTTGTAATGGTCTGGAAGATCCCTACCTGTTTCAGAGAGAAATGTGGCAGTGAAGAGGCAAAGCAAACCTGCTGCGGTACAAGGACGCCTAAGAGCTACACGAATCCTACCGATGCGGCATCCAGAGCTTCCTGTTCCCTTCGGCAGAATTTCGAGGGCATTTGTTGTTCCACTTTGTGTTCTGGAGGCTTTTCCCCTTGTGCAATACTAGCATGCTGGCTTTGCTTCATTAACCATACTTGATTGATATATATCAATGATAATTCTATCCTCTTCCAAGAAAATATTTTTAGAGCTGTTAGATATTCCATGAAGAAGAGATGGACAACTACGAGTGAAGTACAGTATGAATTAAAAGTTTATTTGGCAGAGTTTGGTAGACTGTGAGCTCCCTTCTTATTAAAGATGTACTGTATGTACAATGTCTTCAGACTTTGTATAGCTCGTAGAGACTACAGTAAAAACCCAGTTACCAACTCCAAAGCTTTGCGTTGTTGGCTCGCTATTTCTTTGAAGCAACGGCAAAGCTATTTCTTTCCAGACCAATGCGTGAGAGGGCTTTTACATATGGTTTGTTGTTTTTTTTTTACGAGCCCATTTGCAATTGGTGAACAAGTATTGCAGCTTAAGCGAATGCCTCCCTGGGCAGCTTGAATGCTCAGGCCCACCCATACACAAGGGTCTGCCTGGTCATGTTCTCCTATCCCATAGCACACACGGGAGAACAACCTAAATCTAAGCTTCTCCATGGCAGACCAGGCTAATTCTCATTGAGAATGCTCATTTGCCACCAGCTAAAAGCATACACGGGGGAAATTCTCTGGCACAGCAAAGGCACAACAGTTCGTGGTAAGCAAACTGTGTCCAAGACCTGCTTTAGTTTCAGGAATAATTTCTTTCAGTTAAATTTTAATCTGTTTCTTACTGAGGTGTATGTACTGAGCCGAGATGCTCTCCAGCAAGGATGCGTCCACAGAGACACCGATCTACCCACTGCCAGGGGTTTGACCTCACACTTGTAGCTAAGCTGTTGCTGTTCACCATGCAGCCTGGTCCTTGCATTGCTGAAGATCAAGTCTGAGGGCTGAGATCTGCAAGCCTGGTTCACATTCCCAGGCACTTTTGTGAGCAGTCCAATTAATTGCAGGGGGTTTATTCGGGTGGAAAATCATCTTGCTGGCATGCATAAGTCTGCGCCATCTACCCTTCGGTACACCTAATGCTACCAAATCAAAGAGGAATAGGGAATTGTAAAACTTGTTCTATCCAGTCCAGCTTCATTTCTTTAATATTTCCAATTTCCTTTCAGCCTGCTTACCTGTCTCTCACAGGACCCCTTTGGCCATGCTCGTCACTTTTAATTCAATGCAGAGGAAGTGCTGAGCTTCCTGACCTGGAATTGGTCAGAATTCTCCCACTAACTTTCTTTCTCCTCCAGGGCAACCACTTCAATCCCTGATGCTTCGAGAGGCAGAAATTTGTCACTGTAATTACACTGTGTATTAAAGCAGCTACATGACGTGTCACGCCATGCTCCATACAGACTTTCCCTGCTGGTCCTTGGCTGATGCTCTCAGTGGAAATGGATATGCTGTTTCCAAGTACTTCTATTATTTCCCCTTCAAAAAGACATAAGAGTGAAAAGTGTCCAGGGAATAAACTTGTTTTTCTTCTGTGCACAGAAAGACTAAATAAGAGCATGAGCCTCACCACTAGCTGTAGGTCCTGCAGATGGAGACCAGCCTCACTGGTGGCCCAGGCCATGTATTTTTTGGCCACAGCCACCTGCCTAAACCACAGAAGATACCTGGACCCTAGACTATGTTTTAGGTATGGTCTGTCATGGCCACGTGTCCCTAGTCCTGTCATCTCAATTCAGAGAGGACCACTGCCTGCCAGGTTACCTACAGGTAGCTGTGAGCCCAAAATGAGATCATCAGACCAGCTCCAGGCTCACCTGCCACAACTAAGGAGAAACACCTCTAAAACAAATCCTTAGCATTTCTCAATTTTACTAGAACAGCACTTTAAAAACCCCAGGACCCTCTAGAGCCCTTGGTGCACTAAGAGATAGACCCTGCCACCAGGAGATCAGTTGATTAAAAGCCAGGACATGTTATCATCCCTTGAATAGGACTGAGGCACACAAAGCTAAATGGCCACTCAAAATCACATTGGAGGTCTATGGAAAATTAAGCAGAAATTGAACTACAGTTTCCTTATTCCCATACTCTGTAAAATGATCCACATGCAGCAAACTAACTCCTTTACCAAAGCCTGAGGTATCTACCCCATAGCAGTGCATATGGCATGGCCCAGACTGTGAGCAGACAACAATACTTATGCCTGTGTCTATGAAATATGCCTGTTGAGATTGGGAAATATTAGACTTGCTAAAATATAAGGAGGAAATGTTGTCATTATCACAGCAAAGTTTCTTAGAGATGTTTATGAATTTTTCTTTGCCAGTAGGCAGCCTCAAATATCACCACACCAAATTCAGTAAACATCTGCGTCTCTTTGAAGTTGCTGCAAAAATCTGTTCATGAAGTGTGGCACTGAGAAATTGCTGTTTTAATTAAAATGTTTTAGAGGGGAATTAAGGCCTTTGCAAAAATAATGACTAATAAAACGTGAAGTCAAATTAAGAGCCGGATGCAGCTAACCTTCATTGTTTCAGTGAACCAAATTGAAAACAATAATAAAAAAAATTCAACCAGCCTGGAGTCACAATGATCATGTATTTCAGGGATACGCTCAATAACGCAGCGTGTAGCAGGAAGATGTCAGAGCTGCTTACCTTGGCCAGTGGAACCATTATTTGCATCATCAGAAGAGAAAGTTCTTGCTTTCTGGCAAAAGTCTAGACAGAGACATGCAGGGGAAAAAAAAGAAAAATTTGTCAATGCATCAAAGATAAACTTAGATTTGTCAGTGTTTCTTCTTCAGATGTGTGAAACCAAGTTATGTAAATCTAAAATGTACAAGTTGGAAAAAATACTGAAAAAAAAAAAAAAAAAAAAAAAAAATAGCTACCATCTGCCTATTGTAAATCTAAAATGTACAAGTTGGAAAAAATACTGAAAAAAAAAAAAAAAAAAAAGAAAAAAGTAGCTACCATCTGCCTATTGATTCAGAAAATCTAGATTATGTGCTTCTGTCCAAAAATCTCTGGTAATAAAAAGCTTAGTGTGGTATGACTTGATATTGCTTTGAATATGCTACATCCTATAATTGAAGAAAGAAGACCCACGGAGAAATCCCACTGCTATGGCCAACAGTGATGAACAGTGTGATGTGCACCCAAACCTGGCACAGAGAGAGAGGCCCATGAAAAATTACTGAAGGTGATTCAGTTTGTGATGAGTGATGCTTTTATCAGACCTATTGATCGGCCATTAACAACATTTGCAGATACTTTCAGTGGTGTATTGCTTGTATATTTTCCTATTACAAAATGATTAGTTATGTTTCTAACTCTCCTCATTTGGCACTTTTCTGTTTCACTGTATGGTCCAAATATAATTACAGATGATAGAGAAGTTGTAAAGATAAATATACCTTGGCTTGGAAAGGACATCCACTTCATCTGAAGGTGGCAGTCTTTGTTTCTTGTTGAGTGGCAGGATAAATATTGTGGCTTAAAATGAGCGTCTCTTGTATCAATAGCTCAGTCACATCCCAGTAAGCAGGGTTTGGAGCTTGCCTGACAAAGAAATGGGTCATGCTTCTTTGCTTGGTATTCTATTTTTTTGTCAGAGAAAAATAGAAATGCATTCCACAAATAATCTTTCAGGTAGACAGAAGGAGATGTGTGTACAGGGCAGTTGGTTTAAGGCTGTCAACACTTTTTCTAGTTCACCGGTTTGAATTCAGATCATAGGCCTGACACATATTTATGGTTCCTTCTCTGAAATGCTCCCACAGTCAAAACACTTAACTTCACAAATATTTATACTTTATAAAAAGGCACTGCTCTGAGGAAAAGAAACTGAATCCTCCTGCTTTGCAGGTAGGAAACAAAGACTCATAAGATTTGAGACCTGTCCAAGGTTATGCTGAAAAACTTCAGCCGAACCAGTAGTAGAACTGAGGACTTCTGGATTTTAGGTCATCGTCGCAGATGGTTCATCTACGGTTCACATCAGTGAAATTTCACTGACAGCAGACCCTGGCTTTTAGCTCAGGCCACAGAGAGCAGAATTAGGGTGTCTGCAGTCAAGTGTGGACAATTGCTACCTTCAGCTGGGATTTGCAAGTCACTGATGCATGGAAGACCACCACTGGATCTACTCCAACATCTTCTGCTTCCACAGGGACACAGTCCTGCCCTAGTTTGGTTTCATGGCTCCTGAGCATAAACTGCTTTGAGCCTTTCAGATCCAAACAGAGATGAGAAAAGGCACAGAAGTGGCAGTGCTTAACCCTGATGGGCTGAGAAATAGATGTAGCCAACAATCCTTCTTTGGGACATCACGATTTCTCAGAGTTGCCCATCTGATAGAAAGATTTTCAGTTAAAAGTTAACTTTGAGCAGAAAAAGCACTCATTCCCTGACACCAGAAAGTACCTGAACCAGCCAACAAGAAGCACAAATAACTTTTTCCTCAACTGAAAAAAAATGAGTACCACTTCCAGAGGAGTAACTAAGTCATGGGAAAAAAAAAAATCTTTTTTTTTTTTTTTGACAGATGTTCATCTGTGGGCTCACTTGGCAGATCTTTGACTATTTCACCTTTTGCTATTGCTTGATGAATACTGCTAATTCCTGAGTGCAGCTCAAAAATGCACAGAGATCTTTCCCACGTGACAAGGCTGGGTATGACATCTTTTCATCCAGCACTCATGGTCAGATTATTTTTGTTTTGCCATCACACAATAATACAGTCAACTTTGTATGCCCAGAAACAGTATATGTGTTGGAGCATCAGGTTACTGACCTGGTTCCCATTATTTCTCATCAGCTTTCTGTCAGACGACTGTCCTTGATTCAGCTGGAAAGGAGGGCTAGAAGCCCACCTAGATTTGAAGCAAACTACCCATAACCTAAAATATTGCTCAGGTGAATATGCAATTTCTTCCTCCAACCCGCCATTCCTCTTCATTTCCTATTTCATTCCATTTTCATTTCATCCCATCCCTTCTCTTTCACACCACTTAATTATTTTCATCCATCTCTATTAGTCCTTTATCAGCACTACTGCCCCACACACTAAAGAAAAGCAGCTGTGCTGTCAAGACCCAATTCAGGGAGCTGCTCCCCCCAACAGCAGTGATTTATGTGAGCTTCTTTCTTTCTCTCTTTCCTCTGTACTTTGGAAGACGAGATCCCGACCTGACTGCAGCTGCTGTGCTGGCAGCTCCCCATATTTGCACTGCCCACACCAGCAATCCCCAGCTCAGGGCCACAGGGT